GAACAACCTAATCTGCTGACAATATCCTGTGGGTTAAAATTTTATATATTTATGAGTCTTTTCATTAAAGTTTTAAAAAATAGTTAAAATATATATAATTGGTAAAATATGGGATTTCCCTTCATCTAGATTAGTAAATATGATAATGTAATAGGGTTTGGGTGGGTGTTTTTAAATTGGTCTTTTTAAAGCTTTTCTTACTCTGACTGGATTACATGACTCTTTTCTTATTCTAGAAGTTCTGAAGTGCAAAACGGGGAGTAGCAAAAGATAAACTACACTGCCTATAATGATGTGATAATTGGAATCCATGAAAGGAAGGTTCCTTACAAAATATGAGGCCGGTGGAGAATATTTTTGGAAGCAACCTAAGTGTCCATCGATGGATGATTGGGTAAAGAAATGGTGCACATGAACAATGGAATATTACTTGGCCATAAAAAAGAAATCTTAACATTCACACAACATGGATGGACCTGGAGAAGTACTATGCTAAGTGAAATAAGTCACACAGAGAAAGACAAATACCAGATGATTTCATTTATATGTGGAATCTAAAAAACAAAATAAATGAATAAAACAAACAAACTCATAGATACGGAGAACAAACTGATGGTTGCCAGGTGGGAGGGGACTTGGGGGACTGGGTGAAAAAGGTGAAGGGATTAAGAAGTACAAATTGGTAGTTAGAAAATAGTCCTGTGGCTATAAAGTATAGCACAGGCAATACAGTTAATGATATTGGAAATATCATGGGAATCACTTCATAAGTTATATAAATATCTAACCACTAATATTGAATGTTCACTGTAATTGAAATTAAAAATAATACTACCCTTTAAAATGACATTTGTCTTTGGAAGATGTGTATTTACCCCCTGAAGAGAGTGTATTGAACACCTAAGTGTATACTAGGCAGTGTCCCACCCAGATCCTGGGACTAACAGTAGGAAATAAGACAGACAAGTTGCTGTTCTCACGGACCCTATATTCCTGTGGAGGAAGGCAGGCATTGAAACACATAAGCAACTAAATCAACAAGAAGGGAGATTGCAAAAAAGAAAATTACAACAGATTGTAATAAATAAATAAATAGAGGTAGGGTTGCCAGGCTTAGCAAATAAAAATACAGGAAGCTGAGTTCAATTTGAATTAAATAATAAATAATTTTTAGTGTGAATATGTCCCATATAATATCTGGGACATACTTTTATTTAAAATACATACATTGCTTATCTGAAACTCCTGTGCTTTATCTGAATACCTACCTGGGAGACTTCTGAAACTGGGAGGTTGAGAAAGGCCTCCATGAGAATGTGATACTGACAACATGCCAGATATAAGCTATAGCGAAAGCCCTAGAGCAGAAACAGTGTGTGTGCAAATTACAGTGTTGAGAAATTGTGAGGGTCAGAATTGACCAAGAAAACACTTTCTCACCATGTACCAGAGACGTCCTACGTGGGGAACAAAGAAGGTAGGATGGAGATGGACTGAGAGAGGAAAGATGCTGTAGTGAATGCAACTGCAGAGTGGGCAGGGTTTGGAGTTTCTGTGTAGCATATTAGAGTTCCTCACTGGAAAGGCTAGGAGGAGGAGGCACTTTGAGAAAAATGTGTGAACCTGAGGTCAGAAGAACCTACTTAGGAAGAGAGGCTCCATAAATGAGAGTTCCTTAGGAAAATTTTAAGATTTTAATTGATTTTCTTGTATCATCAGGAAAGTCATACAGGGCATAACTTTAAACTTACCCCATTCACAACGTAATTCCTTTTGAAAATTGTCTTAATTCTTTAGAAAAAAAAAAAAAAAAAGAGGGGGAAGGAAATGGAATATACTGAGACAAACACAGCAATTTTTGGAAAAAAGGAGAAAACAATTAATGATAGGGAAGCCTGGATTTTCTACTCCATACTTCAAAGGAGACAACAGGAAGGGGTGGGAACACTCTTGGGGACCAGCACAAAATATGTGCCACCCACAACACACGACACCTCGAGATATGACTGGAGGGTAATCTAAAGTTGGTCCTGCATACTTTTCGTATTTGATCAAATTTCCTAAAATTATTCACCAAATCAGAAAGCAAGGTATTTTAAAAACAATTAAGAGGCTTGAATAGGTCATTGCTTTACTCTCTCTTAGAGCAAGAATGGTTCGTATACCTGATGTATAACAAATACAATTGATAAAAGAAATTAAAATCTAATCCTATCTAATAAAAGAGAAACATGGTAATTAGTGTATGACCGCTACCCTTCCCATTTGCTAATCAGGGCGATATGCAAATTAACTGCCAGCCAAGATGGCGGCCTGCAGCCAGGCAGCTTGAAACTAACATGAGGCTTGCTTGCTTCAGTGACAGAGGAAACCAACATTCCCCGCCTGCCTTGCCGGCCTCTGAGCCTGCAGTTTGAAACATTGTAACAAATATAGAAGCTAAACAAAACCCCAGAAACCTGCTTTCAGCTAGCCGGGATCTCAGAGCTGGAGTTATACATTGTTTCGATTATAGAACCGAAACAAACCCAATACCTGCTTTCAGCAGCAGAAGGCCTAAGAGCTGGAGCCTCAGAGCTAAAGCTGGCCCAGAATAAAAAAAAGAAAAAAAGGAGCGGTTGGGAGCTTCAGTCACCCCCAGCCTGAAAACAGCCCTCAGCCCCTCACCCAGACTGGCCAGGCACCCCAGTGGGGACTCCCACCCTGAAGGGTGTGTGACCAGCTGCAAACAGCCATCATCCTCTCAGCCAGGTGGGCCAGGCATCCCAGTGGGGACCCCCACCCTGATCCAGGACACCCTTCAGGGCAAACCAGCCGGCCCCAACCCGTGCACCAGGCCTCTATCCTATATAGTAAAAGGGTAATATGCCTCCCAGCACCGGGATCAGCGGAGCCGCGAGACCTCCCGGCACCGGGATCAGCGTGACAGGGGGCAAGGCCCAAACCTCCTGATCGCCCTGCAGCTCTGTGTGTGACAGGGGGCGGGGCCACAACCTCCCTATCGGCCCTGCTCTGTTTGTGACAGGGGAAGGCGCCCCAACCCCCTGATCAGCCCTGCTCTGTGCCTGATAGGGGGGAGCTCCCCAACCCCCTGATCGCCCTGCGGCTCTGTGTGTGACAGTGGCGGGGCCCCAACCCTCCCCCCCCCCCCCCCAACCACAGGCCCTGCTCTATGTGTGACGGGGTAGAGCCATAACCTCCCCATCGGCCCTGCTCTGTGCGTGACAGGGTACGGAGCCCCAACCCCCCTGATGGGCCCTGCTCTGTGAGTGACAGGGGGTGACGCCGCAACCTCCCCATCGACCCTGCCTTGAGTGTGACAGGGGGCAGTGCCCCAACCCCCCAATCAGCCCTACCCTGAGCGTGACTGAGGGTGCCATCGCAACCTCCCGATCCGCCCTGCTCTGTGCATGACAGGGGTGGCGCCCCAACTTCCCAATCGGCCCTGCTCTGAGCCCGACCAGGGGCTGCACCTAGGGATTGGGCCTGCCCTCTGCCACCCGGGAGCAGGCCTAAGCCAGCAGGTCATTATCTCCCGAGGGGTCCCAGACTGTGAGAGGGCACAGGCCAGGCTGAGGGACACCCCCTTCCCCCCGAGTGCACAAATTTATGTGCACCGGGCTTCTAGTGGTTTATAATAGCAAAAATAATTGAAAATGATTTCAGTAACTAGAAATTGAAGCATTCCTCTTTTATGGACTATTATGCAGTTATTAAAACTGAGATAGATTAGATAAATAGATGATAGATAGATAGATAGATAGATAGATAGATAGATAGATAGATAGACAGATTTGCAGGGTGTCCCGAGAAAATGTATACACATTTTAACAACTGATAGCTACATTTTTTAAGGTGCCCGTACATATGCTGACAGAGATCTGCAGTAACCAGAATCTTGCTTTGTCTGGAATTGGGGGTCGGGGCAGTGCTCAGGATTTTCAGTGTTAAAATAAGGACATTCCCTACAAACCTGGACCAGTTGACCAACCTAGCAAGATCTCCAAAAACACTGTGATAAAGGCAAGTTGGCATATGAGGTAGAAAACAAAACAAGAAGTATCTACATCTAGATGCAGAGGTATATGTATTCAAAGACTAGGGTTAGAGAGGAAGTTGAGCCTGTCACCATTTTTATTTGTGTTACATTATTACTTTATTTGTTTGTTCATTTATATATATTTATTTATTGGTTAATCCTCACTCGAGGATATTTTTCCATTGATTTTTAGAGAGAGTGGAAGGGAGGGGGAGAGACAGAGAGCGAAAACTAATGTGAAAGAGACACATCAATTGGTTGCCTCCCACACAAGCCCTGAGCAGGGCCTGGCATCTAGCCTGCAACTAGGTACATGCCCTTGACCAGATCAAACACGGGACTCTTCAGTCGATAGGCCAACAGTCTATTCACTGAGCCAAATTGGCTAGGGCCATAACTATTATTCATTTAAAGAGCATATCTTGTGTAAAGGAAAAAAATGAATGCTTTTATGCTTGTATATCTTTAATTTTAGGATGAGTCTTTTCAATGTTTATTTCTATTGATTTCTGTTTATATTTTAGGTAGATCCAGGTCTTCAAGTAATATTATTATCTTACATTGTTAGCTGTTTAAAACAAAATACTTTCAGTCTATCTTTATATGTTTTTTTCTTGAAAACACATTTTACAAACCTATTTTAACAAATCCTCAACCAGACTTTTATACTTCAGTTTAACAGTAATATTCACCACCACTGTGAGTTGGTACACCTCATACAACTTTTATTCCTTAAAATCATATATATTTTTGGTTTTTGTTTTTTTTTTAATTTATTGCTGACAGTATGACAAATGTGCCCCATTTCCCCCGTCTTTGCCTCCCTCCACCCAGTGTATTTGCAAAGTCCTGTGACATTTATTATAATTTAAAAATACATTAGATATTGTTGGCAGAAAAAAATGCAGAATGTGCTGTTTCCTGATGTTTGTGTTACAAAAGTTCAAAGGAATTGACTTACCAATAAGTAATGATTTTGTTATGTAATATTTATACTAGTGGAGTTTTGTAATAATGAACATAATTTCAGTGGGCTGATGAAATTGCTGGATTTCAAAATGAAAGTCTCTTGTTGACACTTCATTTCCTTTATTGAGAGACAAACACTGTAGGCATTCCATAAAAGCTGAGAACATGTTGGAAGGCTAGTGTGAGGAATTTAAAAGAAAAGGTGCCAACTTCAAGTCCTCTGTCAAACTATATATTCCCACATATTTAAGAATCAATAGGATTCAATGATTTACCAAGTCATTATAGAATATCATTAGCTAATAAATCTAAGGACAAAGGTCTCTCTGAACCATGCTATAGGATGTTCCTTCAGTGGTTTCGATGGTTGTTAATTACACACATTGCAAGAGTCATAGGCATACAAGAAGCAAGTCTATCCTGCTATGTTTTATTATCGCTATCATTACACTGCTGTTTTCTCAAATACGTATTTTCAGTAAATGCTTGTCAAAAGACTAGTTTAGCTAGAACTTAATGATTATTTTAAAATCACTCATTACTGTCAGCCTTAATGTTTCTATCACTAAGCACAAAATAATAATACTTATTACCTATTTCCTGAGGCCCTGTATGATAAGGTTAGTATTATAATTTGCTGAATATTATGCTTGATAAAATAGTTGTGAAAATAATGTATCATAGTATTCTACCAACTAAAGCGATCCAGGAGGGAAATCTAAGAAAAGTATATTCCTTTAACAGCTTTGAAAGCAGATTTTCAAAAACTCTTTTCTACTTACATGACTTTTTTTTTTTAAACAGAGTTAAAAATGAAACCAAAGGAAGTAGGGAGAAATTTCTAAAAGAATAAAAAAGGTGATTGTGCTGGACTTAGTGATTTTCTGGTTTTAAAATCATCCAAATCCAAAGCAAGTAATGAGAGTTTATTGTACCTCCACCAAGACAGGATTCCAAGGTGACAACCGTGACAATTTCTAGATACATAGAAATGAATAAAAACTGAGACCTAGGTGCCCCCAAAGTACAAATTGCCTTTTATGTGGCTACTCATGCATTTTGTTTATATGAATTCCTATGAACTTTGTGAACTTGTAAGCTATAAGGAAAGTGTCCCTGTGCTGTGTCCAAGGTGTAATTATAATGGGCCTCTCCTGCAGACTCCACCCTGAGTTTCAATCAGCTTTCAACAGGCCTGAGATCCTTGTCAGGATGTGATCAGTATCCATGCCCCATATCAAATATAGAGAGACAAATGCAGTTCTAAGTAACACTAGTCCTTCATTTAAGAAATATCTTTATATTTTAAAATATATAGGGTGTCCCAAAATTCACGCAAGAAGTAATTTTGATAGAACACACAGGTTTATAATTAAAAATTGTAAATTTTTATTGATTCATAAAGTATATAGTATAGGGTTATGTATGGAATAGCACATTGGGTAAATGGCCTCCATAGCTTTGCTGGCACATATGCAAAGCTATGGTCTTCATTGGTCTTCATTGTCCCTGCTCCTGAGCCATAATTGGTACTTGGTAATGCTTATCAAATTGAAGGGACTGAAATCAAAGGGCAACAGATATTAGAACATGATTCAATAAACCAAGTAAAATTAGGCTTTTATTTTTTGTTGTTGTTAATGCTCACGCAAAATTCAAATCTTGCGTGAATTTTGGGACATCCTATACAATGGTGGTGTAACAGGGTTAATATAATATTAAAGAGCTGTCAATTTCTGTAATGCAGAGAGAAAAGAGTTTTAATGGATTTTTAATTACATTACAATTGCCCTTTTTTTGGTAAGCTCAAAGAATATTTTTTAATGTGAATTGATTTTAATTAAAAATTGAGCATTTCAAATTTTTGAAGGCCAATACTGACAAGGCACATGGCTTTCTGAGGTAGAATTTGACACTCAATTTCATCTATTTATCTCTCAGATGAGTTGAGGGAGAAAACAGGTCAAGGATCATTCATCTGGATTGATTCATTCTATTTGCAGCATGGAAAATTGAACCAATTTCTCCAAGTACCTTACCTTCCTTTCTTGGAAGGCATGGAGCAATAACTTTTATTTGGAGAGCAGTAAAATCAACCCACATTTCCACATTGTTGAGAGGCTTAGCCAATAAGTATGTTTTAAACACACTTTATACAATAAAGGGGCTCTTACTGGACAAATCTAGGAATTTTGAGCATCAAAATAAATAATAACAGTAAGCCATGCACTGTTTAATGATGGGTGTATGTTCTGAGAAATGCTTCATTAGGTGACTTTGCTCTTGTGCAAACAGCATAGAGTGAGTTAACAACCAAATGGTATGTGCTACACTTTCATAGGACTGGTAGCGTAGTAGGTTTACATCAGCATCACCAAACACATGAACAATGCATTGCACTCGGCAATAGGAATTTCTCATCTTTATTACAATCTTATGGGGCCACTGTCATATATGCAGTTTATTGTTGACAGAAATGTCATTATGCAGGGCATGATTCCACTGAATTATAACTCATTGAATAAAATAGGAATTCATGAATCCTCAATATTATAGATAAATAAATAAATGGGAAGAACAAAACGCTCTTCCTTACAGATTAATATCTCATAATGTAGAAGGAATGAAGGGATTAGAAAATCAACATTTTTCAACCAATCTATATATATAAAAGCCTAAGCGACCGGACAACCAGACAGTAGCTATGATGCACACTGACCATCAGGGGGTAGGTGCTCAACGCAGGAGTCAGTGGTCAGTGTTCTCCCACAGTGGAAGCGCCGCTCTGCTGACAGATGGGTGCCAGATACTCTTACGGACACTCCCCCTGCACACCTGAGTGGTAGCGGTGGCAGGTGCAGCAGGGCTGGGATGAGAGGGAGCAGCAAGGTGCCCAGCCCAGGCTCAGGCTCTTCCTCAGCTGCCTGCCACTTGGTACACTACTTTGTGCTATGCGGGATCGACACAGACAACGGGCTGGAGCTCAATGAGCTTGGCAGGTAAGGCTGGGCTGCAGGGGCATGGAGGTCCACTGATCCCCGCAGGTCAGACCAAAGGACCCCACTGGTGCACAAATCTGTGCACTGGACCTTTAATCCTATATAATAAAAGGCTAATATGCAAATCAACCTAACAGCAGAACGACCAGTTGCTATGATGTGCACTGACCACCAGGGTACAGAGGCTCAATGCAGGAGCTGCCCCCTGGTGGCCACTGCACACCCACAGGGCGAGCGCCACTCAGCCAGAAGCCAGGCTCACAGCTGGCAAGCCCAGCAGTGCTAAGGACCCCTCGGGGGATGTCCGACTGCTGGCGTAAGCCCGCAGTCGGATATCCCCCGAAGGGTCCTGGACTGCAAGAGGGTGCAGGCCTGGCTGAGGGGGGACCACCCCCCACCAGTGCACAAATTTCATGCACCGGGCCTTTAATATAATAATACTTAATCAGGCAAGAAATAGCAATGGATGCTAAAACTAATTGGTGAATGAGGGCTGAGGAAGAGGATTTTATAGTCTCAAAATTCTCCCCACAAAATAATGATTAACTTCAAAATTTTTAAAAAATCACACATTTATAGTAGAGAAACCTCAGAGACAGACACCATCTTAAAGTGATTAAAATTAACATCACAAGTAATGAAAAAAATTGACACCGTGTGCCTGCCATCTGACTAGATACAATGAAAAAAGAACACACAGAAAAACAAAGCATCATTTCTGTAAAGTTTTGTTCAAAAAATTATATGACCTGTATATAATTATGAGATGACATTAAATAAACCCAAATTGAGGCACAGTTTCCAAAATAACTGGCCTATAATCTTCCAAAATGGCATGGCTGAGAAAGTCAAGGAAAGAAGGAAGAACTGCTCCAGAACAAATGAGACAACCAGGTACCACAATAGATCCAGGATTGCATTTCGTATCTACAGAACATTAGACAACTGGTCAACCACGGATAAAGTCTCTGGGGAAAGATTATACAAAAATTTTTATACTTGCAACTTTTTTATAAGCTTGAAATTGTTCCAAAATTAAAAATGGAAAAAAAAATTTTAAGTGCTCTTTTTTCTACCATGACTCCAATGGTTGAATTTCCCAATAGTAAAGTTCATATAAGAAATAATCTAATACATTTGCCAAACCAAGTTTAAACACTAAACACTCAGTAAGTGGTAACTCACCAAATGCCTCATCTATGCATTACTATTATTGTTATTATTAATACTTAACATTTATCTAGCACCCGCGTTGTTATATATAATATGGCAAAAGTATTGGTTCCCTCAAGGAGCACTTCTAAAAAAAATAAAAACGTATATACAGGGGCACATATCCAAATACAATGTTTATAAAGGGACAGAGAGCCAAAGACAAAACTAGACTCAGCTATTCTTCTCCCTTTTATTTCAGGTTAAAGGAGATACAAATCCAGGTGTTCACACATTACCAAATTACTGCTCTGTAATTTGAAAGGAATGACAATGACATCCTGTTGTGGTCATAGGCAATTTAGTATTACAGTACACCTGTGAAACTGAGCCATCAACATTCTGGCAAGGCTGTGTAATTAAAGAGGTAACACTTACTACCTACATTATTGTTGACTTCCAGGATGCAGCCCTCTGTCTACCTGACTTTCATTTACAAATGGGGTCAGAGGAACCCAGTAAAGGCAGCACCTAGACAAACCTGTGGCTGGCTGCTGCTCCTCCCTTTGAATCAGAGCTCCCTAAACATTCCCTTTTGCAGCCAAGAGGCAAAATTTTAGTGCTGACTCTTGAAAAATGTCTTTATTTCTTGCATGTTTATTTATGTCAAAGTCTTCCTTCCCTTTTCCAACACTAAGTTTTCAAATAAACATTTGCTTGTTATTCTACAGACCACAGACTGTCATATAAAGGAGAGTCATAGCTCATTTAGACAGCCGAAGAATCTCTAAAAATTACATTGATTGGCAGAATGTCAGGGATTGCAGAGATCCACACCAACCTTATTCTATCTGGGAAACTTCAGAGAAAACTTTATTGGTAAAATAATAATAATAATAATGATAACCTAGCCAGTTTGGCTCAGTGGATAGAGTGTCGACCTGCAGACCAAAGGGTCCCAGGTTCGATTCCGGACAAGGGCACATACCTTGGTTGCAGAGCAGGAGGCTATCGATGTGTTTCTCTCACATCCATGTTTCTCTCTGTCTTTCCCTCTATCTTCCACC